GGAAATTTCTACGAACATGCGATAGTACTCCACTTTAGTTCCCGAATGGTTCTTACTGGGAGTTGGAAGGGAAGGTTCCAAGATGAGGTTGGGTGGGTGGGGTCTGCGGTGTATGATGTGGCTGCCGCAATATTCATTGTTCTTCTGCCTATCGTGTCCCCGTTGAGTTGTTTTTGACGTCGGCGAGCGTGGACTGGGGTGGGTGTCTGATTGGCACGGCACGGGGCCCGGATCGGGGAGCTGTGACCTCACGCGCTTGACCGGGGAAGCGAAGCCAAGACGAGAGATAGCGGCACCACCAACAACTACGGGCCGGAGCGGCAGCGTTCGGCCTCGCCGTCAGTTTTCGTGTCAAATCGTGAGTAATCGAGTGTTCAGTGCTTTTGGCAACCAGATTACTGAAAATCAGTGCTTTCCGCAAACTCTTATGAAAACGATGTATTTTCGGACGCAATTGTGATAGCTTTTGGCAATTTACTCGGGGCAGAGACGCATCCACCGGCGGGCGCACCATCGGATGCCGTCTACCATGCCGGCCGGCCGGCCGCAGCGTGGCACCGCGTGTGTCTGGTCGACTGAGCTGCGCTGCGCGAGGGGTGTTGCTTCCAGGTAGCCGCCCCTCGCGTACGCGTACATCGGTGCCGACCCATGTTGCAGCCCCGGTGCTACGACCTCGCGCCCCGTTGCGGAAATGAACAGGAGATTCCTTTTTTCAGTTTAGCGACGGAAAGAACAGGAGGTGGCTGCGTTCGTGTTCTAGTATGATTTTTTCAGCTCAAAACGTTGATGCTAGCGGCCCACCACAGGAAGTGCGTGACTCATGCAGCTGAAAACCAGATCGACCAGAGTAATAAAAGGATCACCAACCAGCAGCACGGGCACCAGTTAAGTCGAAGCACCTCTCGGTTGATGGAGCGCCAGGAGTTTGGATTCAAATCGTATATATAAAATCAACCGGCCAAAAACAAACGACACAAACAGACCATAAATGCTACAGTAGCGCAGTACATGTTTTACCCTCACTTGTTCCAAATACAGAAGAAAAAAATAGTATCTGCAATACGCAAAGAAATGCAATATAAATCACAAGATGGCATCTTTACCGCACATTGCGAAGAACAAGTAAACTCGCTTCGAAGACATCAGAGACGTTATGAATGACTGTAGAGACGCCTTCTGCCGGAACGGTACTTGTCATCATAAGTTTGGATTGGACAGATGCTAATTTTTTTCTTCTCACTGGCCTTGATGCGAGTTTAACTCTCACTCGATGATAAGCTACATCAGGAGAAGAAGAAAAAGGCATTTGATCAGCCAACTGCATCGAACGAAAATCCATACATCTCTGAATAGGAGTAAAATGAGACTGCAGGCTGCAATGAGAATTCTGAATTTGTACTACTGCAAGCAGGATGCACGAGGCGCTTCAGTTAGCTAGAATAATCTACTTGTACAGGGTCAGAAACAAATAACCAGACACACGTATTGGCTAATCAAGCCCAACTTGCATCATTACGAATTTCTAGTGCCCTTGCATCCTAGATATGCGGTGATAAATCATAGCAACACTGGATGGCAATTTGATACCGCAGCGATGAACTTCAGTATATATGTGCTCAGAGCCATAGTTCAAAAAAGACCTAGGCGTTAATTGTGCGTTTTGCCACCGCCAAAGCGCACACTTATGCGCAGTTATGCACAGATTAAGCGTAGTTATGCGCAATGCGTTTTGCCAACGCCTAGAGCCTAGGTGCGCTTAAGCGCTTGCTTACGCGCGCCTTTTTTAAACTATGCTCAGAGCTAATGTCAAAAAACCATTGAAAGCAACTATCGCCCAGCTTTCCTTCGCGTGCTTGGTAGTTGCCAGTGTGCACAGTGAATTCAAGCAAGAAGCAGCAGAGGAAAGAAAACATTGACCATGGGTCAGCAAAGTGCACTGAATGAGGTGTCATCAGTAGGTCGCTCAAGATACACAGCTACAGACGTCTGTATTGCAGTACATCAGAAGAATATATAAGAACAAATGAACAAAATCTGGAAAGGAACTAGTGTGAACTTCTGGGAGATGTAAACACACGTACCATGTGGAATATAAGATTAGTGGAAGCGGCCTGTCCTCACAATTCTGTTGGAAATGAATCGGAAGGTTGAAGTCTAAGTGACAACAGATCCATGTTTCTGAAGCCTCGAACCAGAGGCTGCTTACGATCCTCCATCTTTGGACAATCATTAATGCACGCATACTTTAATTTTGCAACTGCCTTTGCTCCACCAATTGACACGAGGTCTGGACAACGCGAGATATGCAAATCACGAAGTGATGCGAGATTACTTCTGCAAGCGCCGAGTGGAATGGATGTTATACTTGGACATCCAATCAAAACCAGATCAACCAGAGATTTGAGGTTTTGTAGGCAGCTTGAAAAACAGGGGGAGATATCCCCACATCGAACTAAGCAGAGCCTTTCTAGGGATGATGGTAACACTAATTCCCTTGGCCATTTGAGACTAGGGCAATCATGAAGCAACAGATCTTCAAGGGAAGGAAAATTCCCAGGCCTCTCACCAAAAAGGAACTGTAACTTGCCACAACTCCTAACATCAATCTTTCGAACGGCAGGCAAACATTGTTCTGTTAGGAGACCACCAAGGGTTGCCAGGTTCTCACAATTGTCAATGATTAGGAATGTAAGGGATTTGAATGCCCTAATGGGTGGTTGTCCTTGTTCAACAGATGTAAGAGATCTGCAGTCTTTAATATGCAACTTTTGTAGAGCTGGAAGATTCCACATTTGGGGTTGGATGGTCGTGACATAGTCACATGATAAATAGAACTCCGTGAGGGAGCAGCACTGCATATTGTCTGTGAGATTCCGTGAACTTCCCAATAAGAGCTTCTTGAGGGAGTGCGTCACCAAACTTCTCGAGCAGATATTTGGACAACCATGCAGGTCTAATATCTCAAGGGAACGAAACTCCCCAAACGTTTCAGTTTGTAATGATTCTAACTGGTTGCAGTCAACAATCCTTAATTTCTTTATGGCAGGCACATAAGCTGGACGCAGAAGTTGTCGGACGCTTTGTAGATTTCGACACCCAAGAATGCTTAGCTCTTCCAAGGACGACAAAGTACCAATCTCGTCATTATTGTTGTCAACAAGCACAGCAGGCGTCTCATTTAGGTTCATACGCGGCTGAAACCAGTTTGGGAGAGACACATCTGGACAATCTTTGAGGAGCAGAGATTCAAGACCACTGGGAGGTTGTAGGACTTGAAGCACTTTTGTTTCACACTTCACAGTAAGATATTGCCAACACCATTGCAGTTTCAGTCTGCGAAGATGTTTCTCATCCTTTAGTTTGAATTCTGCTGCATGATCCTTGCTCAAAGAACCAAGATTCCATATATTTATATGTTCATCGAATTGGTTCAAATTCTTAAATATTTCCATTTGGATCTGATTGGTTGCATCAATCTTCTGTTCAAGCCCTGCATAATATTGAAATACTCGTGATTTAAAGCCCCGTAAACTTATCAACTTACTGTCTTCGGGAAAACTTTGTATGTTGCACTCCTCCGCATACAACCTCTGCAGATTATAGAGGGAACGGAATGCTGAAGAACTCTTGAAAGTACAAGCCTTGGAGATTTCAAGGTACCGAAGATGCTTCAAGTTGGCAATACTGTCTGGCAACTCATTTGAAGAGGCCCAAAAAATCACACGTAAACGCTGAAGCTCACTACACCAACGGTCCATTATAGCTGCAGCTTGATTTCCAAACGACTTGTCACAAATTAGCGTGCGCAGCTTTGTGTGCTTGCTTAGGCTCAACAAGTCGGGAGTGCTCAAGTCTCTGCTTGGGAGTATGTACAAATGACGAACATTCTGGGGAACCATTTGGAAGTCCCTCATATTTCTTATGGTGAAGCAGTCATGATCTGACACTAGTTTTGCCATGTCATGCAGCAAGTCATGGATAATGTATGTACCACGAACTTTTTGAAAGAAGGACCTATTTACAAGGTCCTCAAAGTACTGATGGCCAATATCTTCAAGTGGAGTGTTGCCTTGAGGTTCCACAAAGCCCTCTGCTACCCAAATTTCAGCTAAGCGGCCCTTTTCAAATTTGTGATCTTTGGCATACACAGCACAGAATGAGAAGCATCTCTTCAAGTGAAATGGCAAATATATGTAGCTCAACCGAAGGGCTGGCAAAATATCAGTCTTCTCTTGTTTCAACTTCCAGAGTTCACTCTCTAGTATATTATTCCAATGTGCTGTATGAAGGTTCATTCCTAACAGGCGTCCAAGTGTTTTGGCGGCCAAAGGAGAACCCTTCAACTTTGGAACTATGCTTCTTCCAATCCTCTGTAACTCAGGATCATTCTCGGATCTCTCAGACCCAAATGCACAAAGTTTGAAGAAATCCCAAAACACATCCTCCTTCAAACCAGCTAATGGAAAGGGCTCCATTGTGCGCACTCTATCAGCAACATCTGGAAATCTTGTTGTGACCAACATTATACTTCCCTGTACCACGTTTGTTAAAGAATCATAAAAGTCCTTCCAACGCTGCTCATTTTCCTTCAAGGCATCATCCCACACGTCATCAACAACAATCAAGAACTTTTTATTGCTCACACTGCCAGAAAGAGCATGTTGAAGAGAAGCTAAATGATCAAGTGTTGTCTTTTTTCCGGAAGCGGATTGTATGGCATCTTTAATTAATCTCTTTACATCAAAGTCATCTGCACAAATCCAGATTATTAACTCAAAGTAATCTTTCACCTGTTGATGATTGCATATATGTTGAGCCAAAGTGGTCTTTCCAACGCCCCCCATTCCAACTATTGGCAAAACAGGAATAGCTGGTATTATTGATTTATTACTAACTTGGTTTGATGCTGGTGTGCTTGTTGATGCATTGACTGCGCTACTTGCTCTCTTGCGTTTTGAACAGGCCCTTCCTTTACTAGGTACACCGAGAAATCTCATCACCTCCTTCAGATCCTTGTCACGACCAAATATTTTTTTTTCATTCGGGAAAGGGGTAGTGTCTGGCCTGACTGATTTGTCGAACCCTGGTGTCACTCCATACAGCCCCATTTTCTCTAGCTGACCAGAAATACTATTCAACCTTTCTTGGATATCATTCACTTTGTTGAAGCTGCCTTGTACGGTAGTCTTGTAGAAGTCAATAAAAGCAGAATGACTTGCATTGCCCTCTACCTCCATCTTTAGCTCATGCCATCTGAACTCACCAAGAAGATCATCAGCATCATTCACTGCATCTTTGAGGTTGGGAAGGAGCTCCGCGACACGGCCTTCATGGATCCTCCACTCTGCTTGGTCAATAAGACTGTACATTGCCGGAAGAGTATCCCTAAGACGTTGTAAGCCACTCTGCAAATGCAATACTTCATGATGGATACTTTCCTCCTGTGTTCCAGACCACCGGGAGCGCAGATACGAAATAGAAGATCCAGCCCACTGAAACAAATTGACACATTCATTGAGGCCACTAATGACCCCAATGGCCCGTGATATGCTCATAGAGATTGGAGTCTGGATATCAATTTCTTTGGTCCTGTGGACAAAAAAGGGATGCATTCAGCATTCTTGAAGCATACTTGTTCAGAGCAATACTAAAAATACAAAGCAAGTATACAACAAGCTAGCTGGTGTGGTAATCATCTCCTCCATATATGTTTTCATCAAAAGGAAGTTCCCCTTGAAATTGTTTCCATGGATAGTTTCATCAGCAAGTAGGAAGAAATCATAAACTTGGAAATGAAGTTTAAGTGCATCCTTGCAACTAATTAAATAGAGTTTTTACTTTTTTTCTACAAAGGGGTGACCATAGGAAAAACACAACATAATATGCAGATACTGAAAACAAGTATTTGTGACTATTTCTTACAGCCACCTAATGCTATATAGCCTGACAAAAAAGGATAAGACTGAAACATGTGTTCTATTTTTAGAATTCTAAATTGTATCATCTCTAATTCTTAACTTTGTGCGGTATTAGTCATTTCCATATGTATTCAGTTTGAATCTTTGTATGTTCTCCCGCCTTATTTATGAAGCTTGGCAGCGCTCGGCCTCCCATTTAAAACAATATGCAAATAGAAAGTGCATAAATACAATAGAAGAGGGAAGACCCGACATACGTGGATCTAGAACTCGAGGTACAGTGAACGGTGATGTCCAAGATCACTCCGATAGGTCTCGGATGCCCATGATCAGGAAATCTCCTATCCCTTTCCACTGTCGGCCATCATCATTTGCCGATCAATGGTTCGAGAGGCAACCAAACTGAAAGATAGCTTGCGCGGCCCGATCTACTCACCAGTCAGCAGCCACCAGTACGTGCATTGTAGATCCTGGAAAATAAAGGCCAATGATATTTATGCACGAATATGTTAAAAGGAAAGTGAAGCCAAAAGTCTGTATTTCAGTACCAGGCAACTTATTGGCGATTAGAGATGGATGAAAGGAAAAAGGGAACTGCGGTTGACTGGAGTTGACTAGGATGACGAGGCACCTTTGGGTTCCTGCTAAATCATTATGAAGGAAATTTTCAGCGTATTCTTATGAATAAATCAATTTTTTGGCTCGGCATGACCATGGTACAGTCGACTGTGCTTAAACTATCATAATATATACAGAAGGGTCTGTCTAGGAAGAGCTGATGTCCACTCTGTTTGTGGTCTATTTTTTCTTTGTCTTAGTTTTTTTATTGCTGCATTATATATTTATAAGAGTTTAGATGTGACATCCTTAAAAAACATCTAGATGTGAATTAGACAAACTGTATACATAAACCCTAACCCACCGAGCTTGTCGACGGAGGCAGTATGAGGAGGAGAAGGCCGGCCACTGGAAGCCGCTCGCCTGATCCGGTGAGAAACTCCCAAACAGCACGAGGCCAGACGCCACTAACGCAAGTACAGACCTAAACCGATTATATACAAGAGCGACCCGATCTCCCATCCCATCCCCACTGCGGGCGGCGCCGCCGCCGTGGCAGGCGGGGTAAACCGGCCGACTCTCAAACGGGAGAGCGGGAGAAGAGAGAAAGGTGCCAAGAAAATGAGAGCCTCGCAATCGCAATGCCCTCTCTACAACGATCCATTAAAAAGGGAAACGGAAATCAAGATAGTGCACACGCCTAAAATGCAGCTGAGCTCAGGTGGCGCTTACCGGGTGTGGCTAGATCGACGCAAGCCAAATGCGGTGGCGCTGCTTCCAGTAGTCCGAAGACGATCAGGAAAACCGCCGCCGCCGCCGCCGCCGCCGCGCGCCGTGTTGGCTACTTCGATCGCTGTCGCACCGGCACAGCAAAGAGGAATGGAGGAGGAAGCTGAGGGGAAAGTGAAAGGCAAGTTCACAAGGAGACCCACACGAGTCAAGTCGCCGTCGCCGGTCACGGACGTACTGTAGAAGACTGAATTGATTGATTAATAAAAAAATGATTAGTTGTGCTTTTTGCATGCCTTTGAATATTCGTCATTATCCCTCTCGGCTCTCGCAAACAACATAGGCTCCCAGCCACAATGTCATTTTACCACTCCAAATATGCCATTTCCAAAACAATTTTCTTTTTACCACTCCAAGTATGACAGTCGCTTGTAGAAATGTACACCTTCACAGTTAGGACCGGTTGTGTTCTTTCTTCGGACAAAAGATGCATATTTGAAGCATATACAAGCACGACGAGCACACCCAGTTTCTGGATATTTTGAATGCACACAGTCAATATTAATTTGCACACACAAATAAACACGCCGCAAAGAGAAAAGTCACACAATACCAAAGCTATGCCTAAAGCAAAGAAAAAACAACAATCTACAAACTAGACCAACAACCATGTCCGCATCAACCATCTCTTGACACCGGTACAATAATCTTATCCTTCCAAACAAGAGTGATGCACGTGTCGCTCGGGACCCTAGTCGCCGCCCAAAGCCATCCCATGTCACCCTCCCCTGCATCGCTGCCACCAGAGGGTCGGCCGACGAACTCGCGCCGGACCCAGGATGGTGGCAATGTGGCGGATCTAACGTGTTTGCATGCTCCCTCTCCTCCCCCGTGGTCAATGCCCTCCTATTTTGGTGGGATTTGTGGGTGCCTTGGTCATGCCTTGCGGCTGGCTCGGGGCCCCCTCCTCGCGCCTCAGGCGGCTGCATCTCGTTTGCCACACCCACCCCATCATGATCTGGTCGGCGTTCCCCGATCGGCTACAATTTTCACGGTCGGTTGCGGATCCTCCCGCGATCAGGCATGCCCACACGTGGTGCGCTCCCCCCCCCTTCGCGCGAGCTCCGGGTCAACTTCCCTCTGCCCGTGGCCTTGGAGGTGTGTGGTGATGCCCGACGGCGGCTGCCTCTTGCAGCGTGCTGATGACCTACAAGTACAGGGGATCAAACGTAGTTTTTTCGGTAAATAAGAGTGTCGAACCCAATGAGAAGCAGCAGGTATTTGTTGGGAAACGTAGTAATTTCGAAAAAAATACTACGCACATGCAAGATCATGGTGATGCATAGCAACGAGAGGGGGATGTATCTTCGTACCCTTGAAGATCGCTAAGCGGAAGCGTTTATCAACGCGGTTGATGTAGTCGTACGTCTTCACGATCCGACCGATCCAAGTACCGAACGCACGGCACCTCCGAGTTCTGCACACATTCAGCTCAATGACGTCCTCGCCTTCTCGATCCAGCAAGACGGGCGAAGTAGTAGATGAGTTCCGGCAGCACGACGGCGTGGTGACGGTGTTGGTGAAGAACAATCTCCGCAGGGCTTCGCCTAAGCACTACGGAAACTATGACGGAGGATAAACTAGAGGGGACGGGGTTGCCGGCACACGGCTTGGTGTTTCTTGATGTGTCTTTGGTGCTAGCCCCGCCCCTCTATTTATATGTTGAGCCCTGGGGTCGAAACTTGGAGCAAAAGCCTCCTCAAAGTCGGTTTTGACCGAAAGGCAAGAGTCCCACTCGGACTCCAGGACCAAACGCCACAATCCTTGGCGTCTGGCCCAGACGCCATAGGCCTCGGCGCCTGGCCCAGGGCCAGACGCCAGGGTCTCCGGCGTTTGGCCCCCTGGCCTCCGCAAAACTCCTTTTGCACCGACTTATAGCCCCGTGGGCCTGACCCCTTGGCCTAACCATATCATCCAATATATGAATCTTTACCTCCAGACCATTTCGGAGCTCCTCGTCATGTCCGTGATCTCATCCGGGACTCCGAACAACATTCGGTCACCAACATACATAACTCATATAATACTATATCGTCAACGAACGTTAAGCGTGCGGACCCTACGGGTTCGAGAACTATGTAGACATGACCGAGACACCTCTCTGGTCAATAACCAATAGCGAAACCTGAATGCCCATATTGGCTCCTACATATTCTACGAAGATCTTTATCGGTCGAACCGCATAACAATCATACGTTGTTCCCTTTGTCATCGGTATGTTACTTGCCCGAGATTCGATCGTCAGTATCTCAATACCTAGTTCAATCTCGTTACCGGCAAGTCTCTTTACTCGTTATGTAATGCATCATCACGTAACTAACTCGTTAGCTACATTGCTTGCAAGGCTTATAGTGATGTGCATTACCAAGAGGGCCCAGAGATACCTCTCCGACAATCGGAGTGACAAATCCTAATCTCGAAATACGTCAACTCAACAAGTACCTTTGGAGACACCTGTAGAGCACCTTTATAATCACCCAGTTACGTTGTGATGTTTGGTAGCACACAAAGTGTTCCTCCGGTAAGCGGGAGTTACATAATCTCATAGTCATAGGAACATGTATAAGTCATGAAGAAAGCAATAGCAACATACTAAATGATCAAGTGCTAAGCTAACGGAATGGGTCAAGTCAATCACATCATTCTCCTAATGATGTGATCCCATTAGTCAAACGACAACTCTTTGTCCATGGCTAGGAAACATAACCATCTTTGATTAACGAGCTAGTCAAGTAGAGGCATACTAGTGACACTCAGTTTGTCTATGTATTCACACATGTATCATGTTTCCGGTCAATACAATTCTAGCATGAATAATAAAAATTTATCATGAAATAAGGAAATAAATAATAACTTTATTATTGCCTCTAGGGCATATTTCCTTCAGTCTCCCACTTGCACTAGAGTCAATAATCTAGTTCACATCATCATGTGATTAAACATCAATATTCACATCTGTATGTGATTAACACCCATAGTTCACATCGTCATGTGACCAACACCCGAAGGGTTTACTAGAGTCAATAATCTAGTTCACATCGCTATGTGATTAACACCCAAAGAGTACTAAGGTATGCTCATGTTTTTCTCGTGAGAGAAGTTTAGTCAACAGGTCTGTCACATTCAGAGCCGTATGTATTTTGCAAATATTCTATGTCTACAGTGCTCTGCATGGAGCTACTCTAGCTAATTGCTCCCACTTTCAATATGTATCCAGATTGAGACTTAGAGTCATCTGGATCGGTGTAAAAGCTTGCATCAGTGTAACTATTTATGACGAGCTCTTTTTA